TTCTTTGGAGAAATCTCTGCTGTAGATGGATATTTCCACGCGCGTACATCCTCTCTTCTGCACGTCTGGATGCAGGAATGTTCTACGCAGGTGGTCGTTCGGGCAATCCACATATTCGGCCAACTTTGCACCTACTGGGTTTTGCACTTCTCCCGCTTCGAAGTTCGACACTATTTTGTTGTATATCTTCGTCCGTTTGCCCTTTTCCACCCAAGTACAAACATGTCCACCTACTTGGTGTGTATTGTCCAAAATGGTGCCTTCGCGCCAACCAGCTTCTCCTTGTTCTTTGTAGCCCATTTGCCGCAGGCGGCGCACCAAAGCCTTGCGGTCCAAAGTGCCGGAGAAATCCTGCGTGTAGTCCACGGAATAGATTCCATATCCGTGCGCTTGTAGCAAGGTGGAGAACTTGGCAATGCTTTTGTCTACGGCTTCTATGGGCAACTCGGAGGTGTCTACTTTGGCTACAAAGGTGGCTGCATGTTYGCCGTGCAGGCTATTCCACTTGTTGGACAAATGGGCCACGCGCTCTACTATGTTTCCTTTTCTGCATGTGTGCGCCATGCTGGTTGGTAGAAATATCCCAAACGCTTCCGTGGCTGCAATGGATATTTTGGATACTACTGCCTTCGCATTTCTACACACCCGCCCATACAAGTCTTGTTCTGCGACGAACCCATACACAAACACATCGTCTACGAATGGCGGCAATCCTCCTAGCGGCTGCAAACTGGTAGTACCTTCGTTTCCACGCAAGTAGTCGCATTTGGATATGTCCGGTAGTAGGTTTCCGTCGTGGGCATTGTCCAGCAGCAAATGCGCCAACAGCCTACTCTTCGCTCGTATGCCCATCTCTTGCAATGTTGTCGAAATAGTCTTTTGGGAGTCCATCTCTATATATAGAGGGAGAAGCAAATACTACGAATGTGGCCTTTGTTGGACAACGCACATCTTTTGGAAAAACAATCCATACACTCTTCTAGGCGTCCCAGATATCTTTCGGGACACGGATTGGCATCTTTTGGGACACGGATTGGCATCTTTTGGGACACGGATTGGCATCTTTTGGGACACGGATTGGCATCTTTTGGGACACGAAAAAAAGGTAGTCGAAACATGGTTGTCGAGGCACTGACAATCCATACACTCTTCTAACCTGATTTCCGAGCCTGCGCACAGTTTTGTTTTGAATGTCGTTGATGGTGGCCATGTATATCTAAGGAATATTTTAACCTCCGTTTGCGATAAATCTGCTGTACCCGTCTTCGTAAATCCGCGAGTTAAACCCGTATATCTTTGGCATCGATCGCGAGTCCCCCTACCTGCTGCTTTAATTAACTGTGCTGCATATCGTTTTTTTCCAACTCATATGAAATCTTCTTTATCAGTACCTTCAAAAGGTCTTTTTTGACCCAAAAGTTCACATTTCTTTTTGTTGGTTGTTTTTTGCAGCCGATCGAGGAAGACGCAAGAGATTAGTCTATAATTCAGAATACGCAACACTATAATAGAAAAAAAATATTATGTATAAGTGAAAAAACGACATATATAGCTGAGAATATAAAGAAAATTAATAGAGCAGATTTCGTATGAGTGGGGAAATGTTTAGCACTGTGGCACTCAATTGGCTTCCGCTATGAAGCGTCATGATTGGTCGCTGTGCGCATTCCGATCACTCATACTATAATCTACTCCAAATATCCATATAGAATGCATAGCCCGATATGGGATGAGTGGGTAGTCCTCAGTACGGTTACTCTCGGACGGTCTCTGGTTCTAAATAAGGTGCGCGCTTTTGTGCTTTCGTGGAAAGTTAAAGCATACGGAGCCGACACCGGGGGAAAACGATTGCGCATGCGTACATTTCAGCACGCTTTCTAAGAATTTTGAAAAGTTTGAGTGAGAAAATAAATGTTTGTTTTCTCCAAGTATACAAAAAAGTTCGAGAGTATACTTTTGTCAGACCAAGATACTGTATTAACAAACACAATATGAAAGAATTAGCCTTAAGTTTCAAGCATGGACACTAAGTTCTGGCATTTTGTAAAGTCCAATTTATCAGGCATGTTTGAAAGTCAAATTTACATATGTTTTGAGTAATTTGCATAAAGATTCAGAGCATGCGCAGACGTTTTTCACTCGTGTCTACGGAGCCAACTTCAGTGTCTTCCCTGTCCAAGTCATTGTGATTGGTTAAAGATCTAATGCCCTAAAAATCTTGGTCACACTGCAGCATGTTTGTCCCCATGAGAATAAAAACCTGAAGCGCTTGAATGTGAGACTACGTGGAGGAAATCTATTGTTCCAGTAGATATACTGCTGTTTGAGCAAGGGTCATTGAATTGATTAAAAGAAAAGTTCGTCTGAGAGTGACCGTACCGTACGTTACCCAATAAAAAACGTCATATATATTTTCCGGGGAGGGGAGGGGAGGGAGGGGGGAGGAATGTTTGTGACCAACGTCTTCTCATATTCATTCCCAACTTTGTGAATAAAAACCTGAAAACCGTTTACTAAATTATTCCTTATCCCCGTCCTCACCACTACCACGAACTCTCAGAGAAGTAGTTATATCTACACTTTAGCGAGAAACAAGGGATAGAAAATAGTGGCTTTGCACCCTCCGGCGCATGATGGCAGCCTTAACAGGAGGCCGGAACAATAGACCTTTCGCTTGACGGATTACAAAAAAATGGTTTCAAGTCGAAGTTGAACTTGATAAATAAAAAAATCATGTCAGTCTCGAATTTAAAGCATTATTTTGTTGTCTTCCAAGCGAATTCGGGAAAGATCTATTGAATCTTGTCTAATCTGGTTTACATGTAGGCTCACGGAGAGGGTCCGTGAGAATCTGGGACCGAAACTAACAATGGCTGCGAAAGAGACTAGTTTACATGAGAAAGGATTTAGTTTCAGAGGGAAAGACTATTGTTGTGCCTCCTGTCATGGCTGACATCACGTGGTGGTGCAAAGCCTCTATAGACCGTTTCCTCAAGGTCGGCGTGCGCATCCAACTTGACGGGCCACAAAACTGAAAAACGCAAATTCAGTAAACTTGAAAAGATAGTTTTATATTTAAAGAGGAGAATAATCGATTTTATGAATTCTCATCGAGAAAAAATTCATAGCAACGCATGATAATACTCGTGTTCTGGTATCGTGGCCCGTAAAGTTCCTTAAACTTGGATGAGCACGTAACCTTGAGAAAACGGTCTATAGCTTACCGCTCGCGTTGACATTCCGCGTCCGAAATGTGGATACAGGATTCGGGGACTTGGGTTTGATTTACAGCAGACCTTTTTACATATAATTTGAAGTGTTATGATTTTACCATTTGTCTAATTCTTATAAACTGAATCCTTTTTGAGATGAATGGATTTGGTTGTCGTAGCAAAGGAGATAAGCGATAGGTTATTCCATGGTCCAAGAAAGCTGGAATGATTTGTGCTTCTTGTTATTAGATATTCAGTATTGCTTGTATTGGACACCGCGATTCATCGTGGTTATAGACGACTTTCATAACTCAGTTTTTTCAGATAGAGAAAATGGAGCATTTTTACCAGAAACTATTAATGCTATCTGAGAAAATACTTCACGAAAACTATTTCCAGAAAATTTTGTAGAATTTGACTGCATACCAAAGAAGTTATGAAAGAACGAAAATAGAGAGTTTTGTATGTATTTATCACTGGAAGCCTTGGTGGCCTCGTTTTGGTGCATTTTCAAAACTACAAATGCTGACACATCTTGTAAAGGATTTATTAATTTAAGTAGAAACTCACACGCCTTATCTAAATCAACAAGATCAATGATTTAAAAGGGTTTTCACACATTGATTTTTAATGTTTATGCAAATTAGCAGCAGTTATGAAAGTCGTGTATAATTATGCCCATAATTCATTTGGCTCTGACAACCTTTTATCTTCAAATAGATACATTCTCTGTTGCTCAGGGTTAGCCTTAACCTTGTGTAGAATATTCACGTGTTATAGTGGAGGTCTGTGAGGTTTCAGATCGTATTTCTGAAGTTGTGCATGGTATTTGTAAAACATTTTGACACTGAAATTAGACTAGCCTTGCGTAAACAAGTCTGTGAGCGAGAAACAGCAGTATTTTATAAATTCCTAAAAGATCTATCAAAAATAAAATTGCGATCCAAATTGCAAGAAATAACGGTGGTGAAATGGCACGAAGAAACGTTTCTTATTATCGTTATTTCTTTCATTGCGCCTTTCCTTGCAATTCTTATTACGCTTTTTGTTGCATATTTCGTGTCTTGTACCGTCGTGTTTTTTGTCTTTTTTTGTTTCCAATTTCAATGCGCATTTCGTCGCGATGTTCGATGCGCATTTCATTACGCTTTTCATTACCACTTTGGTTTCACCTTTTACTGCGAAATTCGTTGCACCTTCGGTTGAAAAAATTAGTTGTTTCTTACAACGCTTACTTTTCATTGCGCCTTTCGTTGTGCCTTTTATTAGGTCTGGTTTTACCATTTACTGCGAATTTCGTTAACCTTTGGTTGGGCATTTCGTCGTTTCTTTGGCTGCGCCTATTGTTGTGCATTTCGTTACGCATTCGCATTACGTCTTTAGTTTCACCTTTTACTGCGAAATTCGTTGCATCTTTAATTGCGCATTTACTTGTCTCTTACAACGCTTACTTTTCATTGCGACTTTCTTTAAGCCTTTTATTAGGTCTGGTTTCACCATTTACGGCAAATTTCGTTGACCTTTGTTTGCGCATTTCTTCGTTTCTTTGGTTGCGCCTATTGTTGCGCATTTCGTTTTGTTTTGATTCATTGTGCCTATCATTTTGCTTTTCATTGCGCCTTTCGTCGAGTCTTTAGTTGCGTCTTTGGTTGCGCATTACGTTTTGCCTTAGTTTATGATGCTTTTCATTTTGCTCTTCATTGTGTCTTTCGTTGTTTCGCTGTGGTGTTTACATGTTATCATTAATTCCTAATCTTTTGTAGCTCAGACCTTTGTTTGACTTTACAGCTGGAAACCAAAACGATGGAGAAAACAGCGGCGATGAAAAGCGCGACAAAGAAAAAGAAACACGTCACGTCAAGCAAGAAGGACACGAAAAAACGAGAATTGATAAAATGCTGGTATGAAAATATTTTTATAAATTTTACTGAATTGACCCTTGAAAACTCAAAAGATATCACAGTTTGGAATTTGTGACATTTTTTTGTACGTTTTTGTATTTTCATATGTTTGCCTTGCATCCAATATACTTTTTAGAAGGGTCATTACCTTACCAATTTTCGTAATTCAAGAAAGTTAGAAACGAAACGAAGCTGGGCTTTGCGGTATTCTTTAGCGGTAATGAACAGATTAAGCATCACGTTATTACTGGGTTGTCTGTGGCAGCCCAGTCGTAAAATGCCTTAGGTTTTTTTTGTAGTCTCCTCGCGAAATGTGCATTCTTGCGCAAGAGTACCCATATATGGATTTGAATGACGTGTTCGTAGATAAATGGCTTATAGACTGGCTTAGCAGCTGAGGATGTAATTCCTGGCTTTAGAAGTAATATAATTGAGCAGTAAAAGAAGACTTTCTAGGATTGTAATTCACATATTTATTTGTATTAATACAACTACTCAGTCGGCAGTATTCTGGCTTCAATCGAGTGGGTTAGTAAAGCCTAAAGGAAAATATGGCTTTCAGTCTCTAGTTAATCTTGAAGGCATATACATAAATATATCGCTAAATACTACGCGGTAATAGAGCTGGTAGCTTTGGCCGTAAATACTTTTCGCTAAGTTTTGAATCCTTTTACTAACCGTGTTTCACAGTAAAAACTTTACCAATCGAGTGTCATTCCACTTCACTGGTTAAAAAATATACAAAAGCGGTACATTTTTATTAAAATAAAACACATTTAAAAAGCGTATACTTTTGAATAAATTTGATGTGAGAAAAAATAAGTGTTCGCAAGTTCTTAAAGTAAAATGTTCCAAAGTACCCCCTCCTCCTAAATAGCGGTACAACAAAGATTATAGGTGTATATTATAGCATACCAGCACATTGGGTAACCCAGTGCACGCTCAAAGAGCGTGTTGTTGCATTTTTTTGCAAAATTTCGGGATAGAGTCACTAGTCATTTATAATAAAATGCAAATCATAAAATAAAAGCTGCAAATTCGGCGTAAAAAAAAACGTCTACATTCCGTACCATCCAGCCAAACGAAGTCCAGTCCATTCCATTTATGTACGGTTCCTGATTTTCCAAAATCAAAAAACACTGAAAATTCGGGTATTTAGAAGAGAAAAACAAGTTTTAGAAGTTGGGCATGTTTTTGCTATACATAAAGATTATCCATGGCCATTCAAAAGGTAAAAATTCAAAACTTCAGAACGGTTAACAAAAAACAAATAACCACTTAAACATATTTCTAAACGAATTAACGAAATAAGAAAGAAAGTGTTAATATCAGTTTATAAATATATTAATCAGGGCTTTGTTTATTGATATTTCAGAATAAGAAATGGGATACACTTGTTTCTCATCCCATTCCTTTGTACAGCACTTTCTCAACCACTTTATATGTAACCAGAAAGGTAAGACTGAAGAGTTAGGGATCCTAAGTGACGGATTTTTCCTAGATCCACCGATCCTCCTCTCGCCTTGTAGTCCACTCCATTATAGTCCCTCAAACACATGAATCTTTTATGACGCCAATTTTTTTTCTAAGGATGAAGAGAAGTTAGTGCGCATGGCATCGAATGTCAATCTATTGACGTCACAACTCGAACTGAATAAACTTTCTGAATCAGAAAACGAGATAGTACGGCAAGCGATGGAGATGTCCAAGATGATTTGCGATTTGTATTTATTTACCAGGTATGATAGCGTGGAATATTATGTCTTTTATAGTCCCGGGAGGGAGGGGG